TAAAATTTGTGTAATGGGTATGATTTTTTTCTTAAGTGTCTGATTGGTCATCACCACATACACAAGAAAATAATGAGTCGTAAAGAACCCACTGTTTTTTTTTCCTTTCCTATTTGAATATTATTCATTACTAAAATATTATGTCCTTTCATGAGTAACTTAAGATAGTTGGAATATTAAAAAACAAAATGTTATTCAAACATAATTTTAAAACCTAGTTTCGAGACCTAATAGAATAAAATTATATTGAAAGTGTCTTCTATATATCTTTAAAATTCACAGCTAATTCAATTCAATTACAACGATTAGTTTGTACCAACCAATTACTTGTGTGTCAAGAAATTTTTGTATGAATTTAACACCACAAACCATCTGGTATATTAAACCTATTCAAAATTTTCTAGCGTGACTGTGGGTTTTTTTTTTTAAAAGAACTTTCCGGAGAAGGACCACAAGCTATAATGTTTCTTGGGCTGTCCCACTTGATGGAGGTATAGACATATGCATGTGGATGACAATGAGGGCAAACACACGGTTCCAAAATAGACACCCAACTTTTCGTGAGACATGCATGGCCGGTGCTTAGGACCTATGCAATCTGATATAATCCTCTCTGGACTTGACTACGGTACAGACAAAAAAAATATTGGTATAGCATCTGTAAAACTTATTATTTTAATTAGTGTTTTTATAATTTTTGTGAGTTATTTTATAACCAAAAATTTATCCCTTTTATGTGTAATTTATCACTTTTGTTGGTGAATTTATCACAATTGTGAATATTTTTATTACTGTTGTGGTAACTATTTTTATAATTTTTTTTCTAGACAAAAAAAAAAATTATTTCATTGTAGATGATTTATTATATTTGTGGGTGTTTTTATCATTGTTGTGGTAACTATTTTTCTTATTTTTTTTTGGCAATAAAACAGTTGTAAAAACACCCACGATAGTGTTAAAAATATCTACAAATATGATAAATATATGTATAATTTTAATTTTAATATATATCTACTCCTCACCTATCTTCTCCTCTCATTTTTAGAAAGTACACTCCCTAACCTAGAATCCTGAATATGATAACAACCAAAAAAACAAAGATAAAAAAGAACATGCAAGAATACCGAGAAAACACCCGAGAGGTCGGATAAACAAATTTATGGAGTTGCACCAAATCACTCTGAAACGAGCAAAATACACAGAAGAATATGTGTTTAACGTGTCGTGTCACTTGAGTTTAGTGGCGAAGCAATGTTATGGCCCCTCAACTTTTTGAAGTTATACATTATACTCGTAGAATTATATTTTTTTATCACATTTTATATGCTACTTAAATTCTTAATATTATACTTTATACATTTGATTATAGTATTACCTTTTATTTTATTATCTAAAATATTGAACCATTTAACTATTAAAATTGTGACATTTTTCATAAATCATTAAATTTTGATATTATATAAATTTTAGATTATTCTAAATTATTAATAGTGCAATATAATCGAGTCAATAATATATTGGTAAAGTGAAATTAATGTCATAACTAAAAGGACAAATTATAATATATTTAAACACTGTGTATGACTATATAATGTAAGGTTATGATTTCAATTTGGGTACTAGTGATTATACGACACCTTAGGAGCTTATCAGTAGTCATGTCAAATTTTATTTCATGCGCCTTACCCATTTACAATTGAATATGATCATATTCATATTGTGTCAAATTCGTATCGTGTATAAATCATGTTTAGTGAGTTCATATGATATGAAATTTTTTGTTGTGTATAAATTATAGTTAATGAATTCATGTCAACTCATTTATTTAATTACTTAAACCAGTGAAGACTAAACACGAACTTGATAATTTTCTATGGGGGAGTGTGGAGTTCGGGTGAAGAATTGTCGTGCGTGCAGAGAATCTTCCAACATGCATAAGAAGCTCATATTAGTTGTTGAATCCGACAGATTCTTGAACTTTGAACGAAGACAACGTAAGGATTAAAACGATGATTAAACAAATGACTAAGCAATTAATGTGATCTAACAACAAATACCAAAAGTGGAACACTAAAATAACCTTCCACCTCTGGAGAAACTTAAATGGCACGCGTCAAAATTTTGTGTATGTTTTACTTAATGTGATTATCGATTTCAAGTTTTTAACCTTTTTTTTTTTTGGTTATCATTAATTTTTTTTTTATTACAGGGTGTCTAAACTTGCATCGATTACTCCTGCAAACTCAATAGTTAATTATTATGTCTTGAGTTAAGTTAAAACATGTCTCTAAAAATGCAAGAGTAGTTAGTCTTAGGATGTGTGAGAAGAAATTGAACTTGAGACCTTTAAATTTTTTGTTATCATATGTTAACAAGGAAAATTTTGCAAAAACAATCAAATATTCTCAGCACTGAATGTAATCTATCTGCTAATCCAACAGTAGCAATGCATTAGGCTTATAAAGTGGGTCCTTGCGTGATGTTTGAAATATCAGTGCTTTTTGTGTTATTTTACAAAAAATTTGAGGTTGTCAATGTAATTTATCCCAATAATTGAGGTGTGGCCTGGCCTGCTCGTGAGATAGAGGACAAGTGAGTATCCGGAGATGTATGGCACCAAGGACCGTTACCCCCCAACCCCGCTCCCCCACCCTATCACGGGCTAATTAATCGAAGTGATCCCACGTATCCCCTCCACCCCCAACCCCCACCCCCACACACCAACAAAAAAAAAAAAAAAAAAAAGCGAAGAGGCTTGAGGACTAGGACTGTTAAACGATCCTGAGGGTTCACGAGTATCTCAGACTCGACTCGATTTTAGTTCAGTTTGACTTCGCTCATATATATCAATATATATACTATTTATAAATGTTAATATTTGCGAAAAAAATTAATTTTTAATTTTATACTTGATTATTATAATAAAATTAATTATATTCACCTATATACTTTCATCTAATTTTTATTTTTTATTTATATTTGATTTTTAACTTGTTTTAAACTCTTTTATAAGAATTTTTAAATTTTTTTGAACTCAGTTATTAGTAGTACAGTTATATACATTTTTGTATATCTATATGAAAAAGTAATGTTTTAAATATGTTAAATTACTATCTACATATAGTTATTAGATTGAATTTCACGGTCAAATATATATTTTATTTTATTTTTTGGTATGAAATAATATAATAATATAATAAGTAATCTAATCAATCTATTTAATAAAATAAAAAAGAGATTTCTAAATAAATAACATATTAAGTACTCAAAAATTTAAAGAATAAAATTATAATTAAATTTAGTAAAAATTAAATTTTGAGAGGAGTATTTTGAAAGGGAAGTTCAAGTTATAATAATAGTGAGTACCGGAATATTTGGACCACAAGTTGTACAACCCCAGAGAGAGGGAGGTTTTTGGAAGCTACATCCACGTTGATCACATGAGAGGAAGAAGTGACACTCTTCCAACTCAATTGAAAGCTACACAAAAAACCAAAAAGCAGGTTGTGGTGCTCCCAATGTTTTGTAGAACGACTCTTGCCATAAATACTCAAATAGTACATGAACGACACACGATTCCTTGGAAATTTAAGACCACAAAATGTCCCCCATAGAAGAAATGAGCAATAAAGAGGAAGAGTCCATCAAAAAAACAAAGAGGAAGAGTAATATTAGTGTGATCTAAAAATTTAATTTAATAATATATTTTTATTTTAATTATTAAATTAATATCAATTTTTTAATATTTAATGACACTCACAATCAATTTAAAAGTTATAACAAATTAAATCAATAAATTAGATACAAATAACATTGTTCAACTTAATATTTTAAAGTTACAACTTAATTTTTAAAAAATTGTAACTTTAACGTGGATTGAAATGTTTTAAGATTAATCATGCATTTTTACAAGATGTAACTTATACTTCAAAAATTTATAGTTCTACCTTTAAAAATTATAATTTTCAGTATGATACCGATGATAATACCGTAAACTTCTTAAATTCAATCCAAATTTGTTATGTCTATCACAATTTTTTAAAATCAATTCCAAATTCTGCGACTTGGTAAAAAATCCAACTTTAACCTCTTTTTTCGTGAAGACTTACTGACGTACCCGACTGGAAAACAAGATAAGCGTCACGAATGATAAGAAGCAAACAATAGTAATAATTGCATCAAATACTACAATACCAAACAGTACCAAAGATTTTTCTTCCTCCTAATGATACTGACAATTTAGCCTTTTGCAATAGCCACAATCTTCAGCAACGACCAAGTATACATCTTGCGGAAAATTTTGTCACTTAAGGATAGGAGAGTAGTCAACAGCGACGGAAGATTGACATCCACAGGCAGCCATATAAACAGTAAACTTCAAATGCATCCAGATGATGAAACCAAAAGCGCATTTGCCTCTACCTCTCCATGCGCTGCCGCAGGTGCCAGATCAACAACCAGGGTTGGCTCTAGATGCGCTGGCAGAAGTTCCCTCTCCCGCTCATATGAATTCTGGAAGGTAGATTGGGGGAGAGGGCCTCTCTCACGAATATATTCAAACATAATTTGCAAGAATAAGGACAAGAGGGAGCTACCCTTGTCTAATACCTTTCTTTGAAAAATCTTATTCCAGCTTTGAGAGCAAACCAAACCACAATAGCATTTGCCTATATATCACTTGCAGAGTGAAACAACACCCCAAAATATATAAGTCAAGTGTTACAAGTCAAATGAGGAACAAAATACATTACGGGTTCATGTTTGGGAATCAACCTCCCCAACATAGAGGTAAATTGGGCTACCACTCATCTCATGCAAACCCTGTTACCTGTGGGAGCCTAACACACCGGAAACAATTTCCTCTCTGGCTTAACCTGGCTTAACCCAACATGAAGATGGTTCAGATATACCAAAGGCGTATAATTCACCAACTATTTTGGTATTCTTTTCGGACTGGTTTCTGTGCAGTATTGCTTAACAGAATCCATTGCTAAAAAAGTCTTTCATTGTCATATCCCAGAAAGCAATGGCAGGTGAAGCATGGCAAAAAAATTCTCACGAACAAAAATGATATTTCATAAACACCTTACCAAAAAAAAATGTCACAAACCTCACAAACAAACGAGATAACATAATAAAAACTGTTGATCAGCTAACAGCAAAAGCAATATTCATTGTTAGGCACATCTAACTGTACTTCAGAGCATCAAGCCAAGCCTATTATCCAAGTAATGGTGAAGTTTTTAACTGCCAGTTGCCCATGGTACTGAAGGAGTTCAATCTGCACAAGTTGGTGTGACTGGCAGGTGATTGCTTGCATCTTTAGTGTGTATTACAGTCATGAACCCCAAAAAGTGTGGTTGAGACGATTACCCGTTAGCAATTACACTGAAAGAAGCTCAATAACAACTAGGTACATATACTAGAAAAGAAAGGTGAGGTCATTTACAAACAAATCACTTCATAGAATAGCACCAGTAGAATGCAACTAATCATATGGTCTTTTAAACAGATCAGCTGTGATCTGGAATTTGATCTTCCACTAAGCCTAACTATCCAATTCAGTGGAAATGATTATAGTCCAATATGCTCTTATGGTATAGCCAACCAAAGTACTTCATCATAGTATACCTTAATATTCATTATCTGTGGCGAAGATTTAACGTTCTATCATCAGTTTGCTCCCAAAATCATTGAAGACCAAAAGACGCACCCATGACTGAACCTCTATCACAAACACTAACAAGAAATAATCACATCCTTTGTTGTTCAGTTTTTGCTATACAGCAGCAAACTCTGTTTCTTCTCCAAAAATTAGCCACCTCCAGACTTGAGTGTATTACTCAACCTATATAATACACCAAAGAAAACAAGGAAGGGTGACGACAAAAGGAAATAATCTCAAAGATTTTTACAATAACAACGAACAAATGAAACAAGTCTTATTCACAATCCACACTGATTTTAGCATGTGTGATTCCAGTTGTAGGCTTGTAGGAAGCAGGAGAGGGAGGGCAAGTGGAAGGAGTACGAGTCATAAGGATTTTAAAAAACACAAGATTGCCGCTTTTAAGAGACATGACAGCAAATGAAACAGAAACAACATTAAATCAAAAAGTTTCTACAGATTGAATGGAAAAGACAGTCAAAAGATAGTAACGAAATATTCATATTTCAACCCATATGGCACACAGACTGAACAGAAACCTTTCAGGTTCCTTCATGAGCTTTCAAAAACCAATTGTTAGTGGCATCCAAATGCGATATTCAATTAGCTCATGATAAGTCAACTTATCATGGAAGAGGCCAAAAAATTGTAAGCTATTACAAAAAAAAATTTAGAGCAACACAACCAAGAGTCTATAGACCACTTATAATGCTAGCAGCATTTAGAATGCTGTTAGTTATCACCAATAAAATTTAGAAAGGGTTATGCATGAAAACAACTAAAATTTTTGAACATCATCAAAGAATCAGCTTACCAGTCCAAGCCCTCAAATAGACCTTCTCCTTTTATGGCAGAGGTTTTAAAAATTGCCCACTGGCGGTTCTTAATCTTGTGCAACTCCAAGGCATCTGTTACCGCAGCATCATCAAGTGCACCAGGAAGATCCTGTAAACCAGAAAATGCACAAATAAGGATAAAACTTGTCATTTTGGAACAAAGGCTTTAATCTCATGGCATACTTCTCATTAATGTCGAGGTGCAGTTTGCGTTTATCAAACAAAACCACAGAGAAGGAACAACAATGCAAAAAAGTTAAACCTGCTTGTTTGCAAAAATGAGACCAACAGCACCTTTTAACTCTTCCTCCTGACAAATGCACAAATATGTAAATTTGCAATCCCATATTTATTTTGAGCTTTGAAAAAAGTACAGGTCATAATATGAATATGATAAATTATGCATTTGCAAACTGAACAAAAGAGTTGGTGGCAGACTACCTCCAAGATTGCATGAAACTCCTCCTTAGCAATTCCTAGCCTATCAGTATCGCTGGAATCGACTACATATATTATTGCTTGAGTATTTGGAAAATAGCATTGCCAATATGGTCTGGGGAAAGCAAACAAATCAGCTGGCAAGCTTATGAGTTGGATGCAAAGCATTAATTTGGGAATTAATTAGATATTATGAAGCAGACCAAGTTTGCAGAAAACATTCTTAGACAATAAAAGAATGATGTCAAGTAAATTTCCTTGTGCAAGTAAGAATCACAAATAACACCAGTAAGTTTTGAACTCATTTTCCATTTAGACCAATTCTAATGTGTTTGGGTAACTTCATAATCACGTAATAAGGAGCACAAATAAGAACATGAGAAGCGGATGCAACAAATCACGCATCGATGAACACTACAAATAATTGTATTTTATGTTTCAAATATTTAGATCATATATTCTACAATATGTAGATATAATTTAGTACTACACAAACATTTACACAAAAACCCGTATTTTATGATTAGCAAATTTATCTTTTTCAGACTAATACAGATTTATTTCAGGCAAAAGGCGCATTGAAGTGCCAAGGACTCTAGGGCCTATAGGCATAGAGATGTGAGGCAAGGCGTGGGCTTCATCGAAGTAAGGCGCATTTTGTAGATAATGTGAAAATTATAAATTAGACTGCAAATACAACAAAATGCAAAAAAAATTTAAAAAGATAAAAAGGCAAGTGCTATCAACAATATTCTGCAAAATATAGCATAACAAATACAACTCATTTGAACTAATTTCAGTAAAATAGAACAAATTACACCAAGATTTCGAAAATTACACCAAGATTTCGAGCAAAATTATTTAAACCAAGATTTCGAGCAAAATTTATTTAAGTTTCAGCAAACTACCCTTAGATCTTGAGAATGTTACGCAAAATGCAACAAAATTAAAAGTTATTAGTATTCTTAACCAATGTCAACTAAGTCAAACAATTGGGTAAGGCGATTTCGTGTTGAGTATTAGCTGGTTCAAGTTTCCAACTTATTATTTTTATAAATTACACTCTTGAATTAAAAGTATAGTCATAATGAACAACAAAGTAAATAGTGAATAATTTTATTTGAGAGCAATTATTTAGTATTTAAGTAAATAATGAATGATGAATAATAACCTATATTACTCAACTTAGTATTTAAGGCTTAAGTAAATAACTTTTTTTTTTCCAAGGAATATGCACCTAACTTTCAAAGTCCAGATTTTTTTTTCAAATAAAGTGGGTGGATGAGCTGGCAATGCGGGTTGTGTTTTAGCGTGTTTTTGCGGGTTGGCTAACGGGCCAGGTTTCGGCCCGACTACTGGGCTTGGAAAAAGTCCAAGGCCTCTCATGAAGAATATTGGGCTCAGGTTCGAGCGGACCAACTATCAAGCCTATCAAGATTCGGACTTATTTTTAAAAGATGGGTAACGAGTCTCGTAGGCCAACCCGACTCATGGACACCCCAAACGAGTTCAAATAAAAAAGCACTTCATCCATACCCGATTAGTTTATTAATTCGTGTTCAACAGATTGTGTTATACCAAGTTTTTGTCGTGTATGAATTATATATAATCGATACATAAACGAGTCATGTATTACTTTTGATTGGTTTCACTCATATTCGATTCATTTATTAATCATATCTTATCGAGTCCACTTCTTTATATGACCTTAATAGTACGTAATCAATATGTACAAATCCTATAGGGCATGTGATAAAGTCACATCATAGACAAAAAAAGGAAAAAAATCTTTTGTCTCCTTTTTCTCTTCTTTTTTCATTTTTTAGGTCATCTAGAAAAGGATTGAGTGGCAAACAAAGCAACTCGCAACAACATCCAAATACAAAACTTGATTCGAGATAAAAGTAAAGTAGCATAAATTCGATCAAATTGTCAATCCGAAGAATGATCCATGCATTGTAATGACAAAGAGTCTCCGAAAAACTTCACTAAAAAAATAAATTCATAAAATAACTCTAAATGGTCAATTTGAATCATTATTATCAGAATTTATTAAACCCTAGACAACCCAAGATCTGGGTATATCGATCCCGAATGAGGTGGGTTCAAGATTCAGATCACCAAAATATAAGACCCTAATTTGTAATACTAATCCTAAATCGATTCACTTTAAAACACGTAGCACAAACAGGGGCGGAGCCAAAAATTTGTTCTAGGGTGGACACACTTAACCAACAAAATTTAATTTTTTCTCCAATCAATAAAAGTATGCCTTCTTTTTTTTTTTTTAAATCATGTTGCATATTTAAAGATTCATTAAATACAAAAGGATCAAACGCCAATATAGATAGTCTATGCAAACAATACTCAATAAAAAAAGGCTAATTATAACCCTTTGTAAAAAATAAGACTAATTAAAACTATGTACTGTGGACCCTAACAACTTTTCATACTTTAAAAGCATTGTATGATGACATTATTGTATGATAACGTTATCAATAATGTTATCAAAAATGTCTTTCTTTATATAAGTAATTAAGTTAACAATAATCAATTTCAGGCTAAGTTACATCAATTTTAAAAAATTTATAGTAATTTCAAACAATTATGAATTGTATATAATTGAGAGTTATCAAAAAAATAGGTTCAATCACTAGTCGTAACTTTTTAACATATTTTCACCTTTCTTTGAGTGAAAAGTGTGACTAATTATTTTTTTGCACAAGATTTAGCTGATCCAAACTTATTAGAGTGGTCAAATTTTTTTGGTTTTTCTTCATAAGAGTGGACCTAATCCCAACTACCTAATAAAAAATCATAAATATAAAAAGGTGAAATTTTTTATTTTTTTTTTCAGGGTGGGTGGGCATGTGCCCCCCGGTCTCCTCATGTGCTTCCGCCTTTGAGCATAAATATAAAATACATATTAATTGATTATGTGTATATAAATTTATAATTATATATTATTTTAGATAATAAAAAATTAAACACAAATGTAAGATAAATAGTAATTGACTTAGTGTTTTGTAATGTTCTATGATATATTCTGTTGTATAGTAGTGAAAACGATCTACATAAAAGTTTCAAAACGAATTGCAATCCGTAACACTGTACCAGCTAAGTCTACTCCCATTATACTATGTATCTAAGAAAGTGCCACACCGCATACCCATATTCGTACTACGTACCCATATTGGTACACCACGTACCAAAGCGATAAGGCAGATAATTAAGCTATACATCTGAGGCAACTATCTCCTGTTGCAAATGGAATCCATATCCATAGTATGAATCTGGATTGGCATTCATAAACATAACTCGACATGGTCAATTTGCCCTACAAAGCAGATAATGAAGCTGTACATCTAAGGCAACTATCTCATGTTGCAAATGGAATCCATAAGTATTAATTTGGATTGTCACAAAAAGAATTCATATACTGATAGAAAAGACAAATGAGAAGTTCAATGGAAAGTTACCTGATACTAGTCTGCCCGCCTGTATCATGCCCAAAAAAAAAAAAAGGGACTGTTAGAACATAATATTTAACACGACCCTCTTTACTTTTTTGATTAAGCTACTAACATAACTAAGAATAAAATCTAGTGCAAAGATAGTAAGAAAAACTAATCACAACAAGAACTATGATAATTCTACAGAATAACAGATCAAACAAAATATCTAACACGACTTCATTTTTCTTTTTTGGTTAAGAAGTTCACATAACTGAAAATTACATCTTATGCAAATACAGTCAAATATTTGCAATAACAACAGAAACTATAAAAATTGTAAAGCACAACAGATAGGCCGTCATGACCTTTTTCCCATAAATGACCTAAAACCAAAATTTCAATGAAAACAATTAGTATAAGCTCATCAAATAGACAAACAAATAGTAGAACTACAAATGGAAGCTGATAACAAGATGCTTAAGAATGCAGGAGCAACTCCGCACATCCACATATTGTTGTCTTTAATGCTCCCCAAATTATGCAAAATAGTGTGCCCATCACATAAGAATATACCCACATAGTTAAGCTAACCAAGTTACATTGATTCCGTAACGAATTTTTCAAACAAACCCTGATTCCCCATCTTGAATTCTGGTAACTGCCCACCCTTCCGCCTCTTGTGGTATTTCATAGCATATCAGTGGCCCCTTTTGCAAAAATACCACAAAAACTTATAGTCAATATGGTGTCTATTCTTTCATTTTCTTAAGCTGAATAAATGAGAAAATCCTAGGACAAGGGAA